GCCCGCGTACACATACGCCAGCGGCCTGCGTTTCATGCACGCCCGCTATTATTTATACACACCTGTATTTGTTCAAATTCAATGATAGGTTTCATAAAATAATTAAACAGTGATTCAAAGAAATGTGCTGTTTCAACTCAACCGTTCTTGATTCGCCAGGCGTCTGCCTCTGATATCCCTCTGCCGCCAAAAACTGCAGTTTATCAAGAATTTATAGACGGGAGTAAAGTGGCCAAATGGTTACAACTCCGCAAATTTAAATACACCAATTAAGTTCCTTACTTAACTCACCCCAACTTGCGTCTGCTGCCACCAGCTGCCATAACCAAACCTGCTAATAAGTTTAGAGCAAGATATCTCAATGCTAATGATCATGGGGGGGGTACATTCCCCTTTTCCCAGCAAAAAACACCCCATATCCCAGTTCCCAGTAAAATAAAATCCCAATTCCCAGTTCCCAGGAAATTATGTAGACATGTTTCAGCAAATTCAATAGTTTAGGTTTTCAAACACTACATAAATACTAATATTTACATACTATTATTTATCTGGGCATAATTAATAAAAAATAAAAAATTAATAAATTAAATAAATATTAGCGCAGAAATTGAAATCCCGACAAATTGACACAATTTTCCCAGATCCCAGACAATTTTAGAGGGTCTTTCCCACGTCCCGATGGACTTCTGTTCCCGAATCACGGAAAATTTATCTGACATTTCCCAGTTCCCAGGTAATTAAAATGTCCAATCCCGCGTCCCGAAAATACCCGTTCCCTTCCCTTTGGTGACTACCACATCAATTTCATGCACCCTCATGGACCAACCAAGCAATTCAAATGGCCATTGGAAACAGATCAATGCTGGCTTACAGAAGATGATATTCTGTGTACAATCAACACCCCATCTCTTACATCATCATCTTCCAGAAAGTACTTTATCTCAGAAAACGATGCTGCGAGGATTTCAAGTGTGCATCTGGACTGGATCGTTGATGATCAATGAATTATTGATAATTGAGAACATTGTAATATAATGATTTTTCATTAGACTGAATAGTCATTTAGAATGTTATTGCCACCTGTCATTCTCAATCAGGTTATGTACAGCAAAGACAATGTTTGGGTTTAATTTGATATCTTAAATAGATTGGTATGGTATACATATGACATGTGCCTACTTGTACAGCATTGAATGGGAATAGGCGTTATTGCACCTAGTATGCCAACTTTGAGAAGAGCTGGAAAGCAAACAAAAAATATTATATCTCTAATTTTTGTATATTATGTAGAAAACATGTTGAGGTATAATTTTCAATGAAGTTCATCTCAACGTTACGTGATCCACTAGGTCAAATTCAAGGTCAAAGTAAAGGTCAAAAGGTCATCACTGTATACTGCTCCTACATAACAAATAATGGCAGATATGGATTGCCTATACAATTAGCTTTCCAAAGACACCAATATCAACCAATTTGGCCTAGTAGTTACAGAGATACGACCATTTGAAAATTGACGGCTGCGTCCATTTTGACCAAAATCGCCAAAAAACGGTGTGGCGTAGCGGGAAAACCGTTCGTCCGACGGAGCTGAAATTTGAAATTTCAGCTTTTTCACCCTAAATTACCCCATAACCCAAATTTCAGCCAATTTGAAAAGGGTAAGGTGTAAGCCATTGGGTGATCTGACACTGTGACCATAAAAATATATAATACAAAAGAAAATGAACAAAATAAACCCCTGTGGCTATTTCCCTCTTAAACATCATGTCTGTTGACACTTGTCAGCGGTATAATACATCTACTATTTCTATTACGTGAGTCATTAGTGATGCCAGGCATATACATTATATTACATTACTGCATCGTACAATACATAGCGTAACTAGACTAAATATACAGTGAGGTGAATCCAGTCGCGAGCGCATATATCTGTGCGCTGCATCTCTTACATAAAGGGCGAGTCTGTTTTTCGGTCTGTCTGTCTATCTTCTCCCCCCGTAAGAGGTGACCCACAACACCATATATATTCTGAATCAGCATGATGCGACGACCATTTTAGGCCAAAAAAATTGACAAAAAAATGTAACAAAACAAAATGGACAAAAAAAACGTAGCAGCCTCTTCTTCCTCAACGCTCCTGGCAGAACAGGCAAGACCTTCGTTACCAACCTTCTTCCGGCCAAGGTCAGGCAGACGAAGAAGATTGCCCTGGCAGTTGCTTCAAGCGGCATTGCTGCCACCCTGCTGGACGTAGGGCGCACTGCTCACTCGGCCTTCAAGCTACCATTCAGCCTGGCAAAGCGGCAAAATCCAACCTGCAACATCAGCCGTGGCTCCACAAAGGCCAAGCTGTTCCAAAAGTGCAAGCTCATCATCTGGGACGAGGCAACCAATGAGCCACAAAGGCGCCTTTGAAGTACTCGACAACACCCTACAAGACCTTCGGCACAACACAGACGTCATGGGAGGTGTGACTGTCCTCCTCTCAGGCGACTTTCGCCAAACCTTGGCAGTCATTGCCAAAGGAACAAGAGCAGATGCTGTCAATGCCTGCATCAAGTCGTCGTACCTCTGGAGCGAGGTGAACCGCCACAGCCTGAAGACCAACATGAGGGTGCAACTCAGCGGCGATGAAGAAGCTGGCCGATTCTCTCAGCAACTGCTGGAGGTCGGCAATAGCAAACTCACCACCACAGCGGATGGCCAAGTCAAGCTGCCATTCAGCAACGCAGCGGCGGACATCACCCAGCTGATGACCAAAGTCTTCCCAAACCTCCACCTCCGCTACCAAGACCAAGACTGGCTGAGCGAGCGAGCCATCCTTGCTCCCAAGAATTTGGCCATGGATGACATCAACGCCAAGGTGCTGGAGCAACTGCCTGGCGACCCAACGAGCTACAAGTCGTTGGACACAGTTCCTGATCCTCACCAGGTCATGCACTATCCGACCAAGTTTCTCAACAGCCTGGCGCCTTCAGGTCTGCCACCACACAACTTGGTGCTCAAGGTCGGTGCGCCCATATTGCTAATGCGCAACCTGAATGCTCCCCAGCTCTGCAACGGCACAAGGCTCACAGTGAAGCAGCTCATGCCCAGAGTCATCGAAGCCAAAATCATGACAGGCAAGGGCAAGGGCGAAAATGTCTTCATCCCAAGGATCCCGCTCATCCCATCCGACCTGCCATTTCAGTTCAAGAGGCTGCAGTTTCCAGTCAAGCTAAGCTTTGCCATGTCCATCAACAAGGCCCCGGGCCAGTCCCTCAAGGTGGTTGGACTCAACCTCAGTGAGCCAGTGTTCTCCCATGGCCAGCTCTATGTGGGGTGCTTCAGGGTGGGTAACCAAGACAACCTCTACATCCTCTCTCAAGATGGCAAGACCAAGAATGTTGTGTACTAAGAAGCGCTGCAGAACTGACCAGAAGTGAAATTCTTGGCACCGATTTATAAAATCCGAATAAGATCAGTACAGCCGTCAAAGCAAACTAAATTCTAGCTCTTTAATCCCGGGCATCGGCGGGTAGCCCAGCTAGTGACGTATAAAAGTTAAACCTTGTATTAGTAATTACCGTATCGTTGACTCTGGTATTCTTCCGTTACACGCTGAACCGTATACACACCTCACCTCTCGACTGCCGTAACTCACAAAGCCTACTGCCAGCATTGACTGTTTTGCACCCAAAACCAAAACCGAAACCCTCCAGCCTATCATACGCGAGCCCTATGCTCAGACGTGATTCGGGAAGTCATACGTCCATTCGTGAGTTCAATACAGTAATTGTTAACTGGTTGGCCGCTACATAGTACATAGAACAAAACATTGCTACCACCCTCCCACAACCAAACAAATAAAAAATTCCTATGGCCCTGCGGCCCTATGACCTTATAATACAGGTTTATAGCTTCTTGCATTTTCCGGGAGCGCATGGTTGGAAGCTACAAATCCTCGTATCGGAGACCACCACCTGAATGACACTGGATAGACAGAGTAGACGATTTATGGAAGCTCAGAAGTTTTTAATGGCTCTAACATTGCGCAGGATTTTCCTGAACCATATTTGGTGTGTAAAGTTGGTAACATCAGGAATGACTACAGCCAGGTACCACCTAATTTGGATCGCATAGAGGCAGACCATATAGCTATGCCTGTGTGGCTCTTTTCTCTGAAACAGTAACAAAAATGCTTTCTGTGGCGAAGCGAGGAGCTACACAGGTAGTCTTGACAGGGATCGTACCTTTTCAAGCAATTACGCAATCTCCAGTTCCATATATCATTCTGATAAAAACCTACAACGGCAACTGAATCTTTTTCTGAAATCTTTACCATTAGCAATAATTAGTAATAGTATTACCTTCTATCATTGCATTTTCACTCTTGTCATTGGGAAGGCCTACTTTGGCTGGAGTATCATTCTTTGCTGTTGCTTCACCTGAAGCCTTTTCGTCTACTGAAGCTGTTTCAGCACTTGTAGGTTGTAGTTCAACCCCAGACTGCGTTTTTGATTCTTTCTGTGGTAGATTCACTGTAATTTTGCTCAATTTACTGCACCTCCAAGTAGATGTTAGTGGAGAAGTATTTTCATCCTCCTCTTCTGTCTGCAAAAGTAATCGGAGCTACCTGCATAATCTGCATAGCATTAACAGTAAAGGCTTTCTGTAGCAATCGGAGAGAAAACAGTGAATCGCCTTGTAAACAAATCCTAGCAGAGCATTCTAGCAGATGAGCCATGAAATGGATAACAACATGAAATGAAATTGAAAAGAATTCGATACATTATAATTATGAGATATACATTACAGTGTGCATGATATGTAATCTGACCCTTGAGTAATGATAAAAGCAAGATAGAAGCAAATATTTACACCATGTGTAGTTACTAGTTAGTATAGTTACTAAGGTGCTCAACATGTCAAACAAAACAAATATATTGATAGGACTGTGAAATACTACAGTGTATAATTAATTTATATACATATGTATATAATATATATATATATATAAAAACAAAGTCAAATTCTAGAAAAAGGGTGTTTAAAATTTAATTAACAAGCTAGGTTTCGAGATTACATGTTTTCATCAGTTCAGCAGACATTGCAATAGAACCGTAATACAAATACAATGCTTATAGATATAATAGAAAAGGAATAATTCAAACAATTCGCACGTTACCATGAACACGGATGACGAATGAACGCACACATATACGCACGCAAACCCTGGGGGGGGGGCACTCGCTTCGGAACTGGGTAGGGGGGTGCCTCCGGGACCTTGAAACCCTTACCCTGTCACAAACCGCTTTGCGCCCTAAAATACACCGTCCCAATATACACTGCACTAAAAAGTATACTGTTGCAATATTGCACATTTCGGTTAACAATGGGAGTGGCCCCCTCCCCGGGACGCACGCACGCACATACACATACACACACACACACACACACACACACACACACACACACACACACACACACACACACACAACGAACTATACAGTACACGACTAAGTAACGGAACGGGACCGACACACGTAGGACTAATTTACGCGGGACTTACTTTACGCCGACC